GGGGTAGCATTCCCCCACCCCACCCTAGACCCCCTCCTGCCTCCCCCCTTCTGATAGTCCGGCATATCTGATAATCTGGCACCCCCTGGGTCCTAAAGGTGCCGGATTATCGGAAATTTACTGTACATATTCTTTCAAAAAAAATGTTCACGATTATTTCCATAATCAAATATTTTTCTAGACACATTAAGAGAAGTATAAAAATTCATTTTCACCTCAGTTTGGTTAAGAAATTACCTATGTTTTCACACATCTAAACTGATGGGATGAAACACAAAAGTTTTTCACCTGGATGAAGATCTGTACCTGGTTGACTATTCAGGCCAGGGAGAGATTCCTGTAGCTGGTAGGTTGATGATGATGAAGAGGTGCCATCAGCTGTGTTGTTTGAGGTCATATACGCTCCATATGTTGATGCTGAATAATACTGTGCATATTGGTTTTGGCCAAAAGCTGTGTAGGATGGATAATCCTAGAAAAAGTAGAGGCAATTTATTAAGTGAATTAATTTCTTTATCATGTACTTTTAAATAAAAAGCTTGATCAAATTGTCTCATGAAGATTGCAGTATGTGGTTACATATTAAAGTAAAGGTTGAACCTTTTTAATCTGGCACCTGCGGGACTTGACCAGTGCCAAATCAGAAAATTTGCCAAATCACGGGAGGCCAATATTGTAGTGAATGTGTGTCTATTTTTATTTCACTAAGGCGAATAAATGGAACAACACTTGTCATGCTGCTTAATAATATAGGACTGTACTGATATACCCTATGTAAACCTATGCCTAGCCAAGGCTTATCAGTTGTCTTCATAACAAAGTGTTAGTGTTGTTCACGCTCTTACTGTACTGGCACAAGGAAACAAGCAGATAAAGCATAACAAAACTTGCTTACACTTAGCTGCATTACTAGCATTTCCATTGCTTGCTGGTCTGTTAGAAGGCAGTTAGGGATAATTTGCCAAGACTGGCAGCTGTAAACAAACTTTATGGGACAGCAGGAAACTTGACCACACCCACGATAAGCAGACATCCAGCTAATTAAAATCATGTCAGACCACAGATGTTGCCTCACCAGGCAGTGCTGGACTATTGAGGTTCCACATGTACATTGCTGTCCTATCAAACTCTGAATCATAATAATCTTGTTTTAACCTAAATTGGTCAAATTATGCAATTGCCTGATTACTTACAATGTTATCTTTTTCTGTTGCATATATAAAAGTTTTGATATTCATACCTGCTGTGAACTACTGAAGTTTGTAGAACTGGAAACTGAATTGTTTGCATAAATAGTAGATGAGGGTGTAAAACTAGAACCTGAAGATAAAGGAAATAATTTATTATAAGAATCTATTTGTGTATCGAAAAGAAAATCTTTCACATTATAATACACACAAATCAGAAGTACAAATAATTGTGATCCTGACTTTAAATTATAAAACATTATAATGAACGCTCAACAGAAATAGAAAAGTGCTTCTAAATTTACTTTGTCCTTTTTATATTGTTTAAGTAAACTTGATTAACAAAACTACATAGTTTCCAAGAAAACCTTGTCACACTTACTACAGTGCTTCATCTACTCCCTTTTAGTTTTTTTTCTTGTTCTTTTTCTTGCTATGTGTATTCATTGCTTAGTTCGCCTTCACTTGCAGTCATCTAGTCTTAGTCTCAGCACAAAACAATGCAAATCCCTTCTCCCTCTCAAGTAAAAGGTGGTTTTTAGCTAAGGATTTTTCACATCCTAGATTAATACCCTTTCCACTGGGTTAAGGACTGAAGGAAGTAAGTCTCCTTTCCCCACTGTTTTGCATAAGCTTGCCTATTGGCAGGCAAGCTAGTTAGGAGGAGGAACACCTACCTTCCCCGGTTTCTGTATCACTCTGGGGCTTAGGAAGCTACATGCTTGGAATGGGACTGCAGTGTACATGCTCAGAGGCAGAAACCTAGATGCCAAAGGAACTTTTACTGCAACAAAAAATTAAGTGCCAAATGAGTTCAGGCACCTACCATGTGTAGTGGCAGCTGAGAGAGCATTTTGTGAAGTCTATTAGCACTTGACTCTAGGATTTAGGCAAGGTCCCTAAGTCCTTTTGTGAATTTAGGCCGGGGTGGATAATAAGCAGCCAGTGGGTCAGATGCAGTTTGCCAGGGATAGCCCTGGGCAGGTGGCCAGACTATTTACCTGTGTGTCTGAAGGAATAACTGTGGCTCCTTGTAGCTCCTACTATGTGCGGTTTGCCATCCCCAGCCAATGGGAGCCGCAGGAAGTGGAGGCCCTGCCCTACGCCATTTCCCACAGTCCCCATTAGCCAGGAACTGTGAACTGTGAGAGTACCTTTGGACAGTCAAGTAAATAAAGCGGCCGGCAGCCCGCCAGGAACTAACCCTGGTGAACTGTATCCAGCCCATGAGGCTGCTTATTGCCCACCCCAATCTAGCTCCTATTGATTTCAGTGGGAATTAAGTGACTAACCTAAGCTTTTGAAAATCCCACTAGATGCCTATCTACATCTTTAAGTCCTTAAATAATTTTGAAAAATCTGACCCTGAGCATTTTTGTGACTGTTTCTTACAAAGAAATGCATACCATAACACTACATTAAAGAGAATACCTTGCATGAAGTCGCATGATAAGCAGCCTGCGCACCACATTTTAATAATTTTACAGCAATACGGGCGCCTAAATACCTTTGAACATCTGAACTTAAAGGCCTGCCAGCCTTCAGATATTTCTACTCACACTGAGTGGTACCTCACTTGTGAGCAGTGCCATTTAAATGTAAGGGGGGAAATGACAATGAGGGTTACTGACCTGGCATTTGGTAAGAATACGGTGTTTGGCCTGGCTGTGGTGTGGAAAAACCCGGACTATAACTCAAGCACCCACTTTGCAGTGGTGACTGCGTTTGCGAAAGCCCGCTTTCCGTCTTGATGCCTGGCAACATTACACCCAAATCTGTGTGAGAAATTAATTTTGAACTGATTCTATAAAATATTTTCTTGCAGTGGGGAAAAAAGTAAAGAATGCTCATGCTGATAATTAATCTTACTTCTAGCTAAGAAGGAATTACAATTAGAGGTAAAAATACCGTAAGTAGGTAAGCTGTAAGGCTGTCCAGTCTGTGAGTAGGCTGTATAGACTGCTGGCTGTTGCATTCCTGAATACTGGGTCTGTCCGGAATAGGCAGACATTGTTTGAGCTGCTGGTGTAGAAAGAATGTGTGGATAGGGCCTAAATATTAGGGAAAATAGCATTACTGTGGCAACAAATACTTTGCATGTTGATTCAAGTAATAAAATAAAAAGTCTATAAGCAGTTTTCTTAGTCAAAAACTAACTCTTCTCAAATCCAATCTAACCTTACTGAAGTAAATGAAGAAACTCTCTGAGTCATATTCTCTTGTGCAGTGTGGATGTTCTATACAGTATCACCAGCATGATATAACCTTAAAGCTGCTGTATCCAACCCCAGGTGGAACATCCCAGTGCCAACATAGTTCTATAGTGACTCCTCCATCTCCTTCCCCCTTTTGGAGCAATGAGCTTCTGGCATAAGTCAATCAGTGATGCCCTCAAGCTGCTCTAACCTAATAAGGGGGAACTGGCTTAAACACAGTGGCAGCAGGATCAGGGAAGTACCTTCATGAGTGCCAAGATACACAAACTTGTACTGTGTGCAGTTCAGCTGTAGCTGAGTACTTGGTCCTCTGATTTCAATGGGAGATGGACTATATATGAGCCTATATAGAGAGGCATTAAAAATGCCTGAGGTAATACTTTAACAACAAGAAGGGCTTTCACCATTTGGGAAATTTGGGTTACAGAAAAAATGGAAATAAAAGTGATCTTTTGTTTATGAACACTGAAGTTTTATAAGAAGAGTGAATAAAACTAAGTTTAAAAATTTTATCTTCCAGAGTTGTAAAAATGTATTCAGAAATATTTGTCTTGGAATGTTTAATAAGTCAAATAAGATTTTATGGACTAAGAGTGATCAAACACACTCTGAAGAATTATTGTAACTGAAACCTGGCCATTAAAAGCCATGACTAAATAACAAATGCTAATTTCTTTTCTTTTTTTTTTTAAATAATTACTTCAGCACAGTTGGCAGCAGCTGCTATCAGAAAAAGATTACATTTTAATTTAGATGCCAAAAATTATTACAGTAAAACAAAAATTCAATAAGACTTTGTAATATATTTGGACAAGAATATCTGATGCACTGCAAGCCAAATCTTATAAGTGAAATAAGACTACACTTAGTTCATTGTTGTTTGCAGAATTGTTGTAACTGACTGAAGAAGTGCCCTGTATAAGGTTGAAAGCTTGTCTCTTTCACCAACAAAAGTTTGTGTAATAAAAGATCTCACCTCATTCACCTGGTCTCGCTAATATGTATAATTGTAGCTGTGCTGGTCCCAGGATATTAAAGAATCTCTCTAATATGCGTAGTTTAGAAATCAGACATTTACTTGTCATCTTATTACATATTTGTTATATCACCATGTGAATGCAAACTTACTGTAACAAAGAAGCTTTAGAAAACATAACTTTCTAATGCTTCAGTGTTTTGTTTTAAAAACATAATGCCAAATTCTCAAACATAGCCTCCTGCTTGGCTCTGTCAAGTATTCAGGAGCAAACAAACTTCACATTGCAATCAGAAATATGTATGCAGAAAACAGAGTACCTCGTGCAAATGGGGTACTTCCATTAGCCACAGCATTGATAACACTAGTGATTTTATATCAAATCTCACAATATTTCGTGTTTTATCAAAGTCCAAAGCTCTCTGAAGTCATGTGACTACATGAGAGTCTTAATTTTAAATGGGTGAAAGGAGTGTCTAGTCCTAACAGTTAGAAAAAAATCTTGAAACATGACCTCTACTGGTTTAAGAACCAGGAAGTAAATAATAACATTTCAACCAACCTTTGCAGGATCTGATTGATGATTTTTTGAATGTTGGCATCACTGACTATGCGATATCTATGTACAGAAAGTTCTCCTTGTTTAAGGCACTCGTACTTATGCATTTGAGAACTCATTTTGCACCTGCAATTGTATTTTTTCCTAATCAAGCGCTTGTTTCCATGTGTTTGAGCAAATTCTGTCAGCACAGCTTAGATGCCTATGTTTGAGAATTTGAGCACTGGGATTCAATCTTGCCCTTCCATCTGTGTGCAAAATCTATTATATACATTGTACAACAACACATAACTGCACATCTAAGAACCAGACCAAGGTCTTCGCCAACTGTGTGAGAGAAAGAAATTAGAGTAATGAAGCTAATGGGGATCAGTATCAAGTCTTAATTTTTTAGCTATACAGTATAGCCATTTGTTAGTACTTTTATTTATTTATCATGCATTAACATTTGTTGGAAATTTTGGACAACACAATTGCCTGAAGTCTTGGTCATTCACTATGATAGACTAGAAAAGACGTGGGCACTAACTTGGAGGGATAGATCTGCGGAGAGTACTGATGGGCTGATCTTGGACTGTAGCCACTACTTGTTATTACTGCAAAACAAAAAACAAGAGTGCCATATTTAATGAAAACAAAAAATAGATTTAATTCACATACCAAAAACTTTGCAGTGTTAATGAATGCTAAAGTATTTACATTTGTAGAGCATTTAACTAAAATGGGATAACCTTTCATCAAGGCTTAACTACTATAGTTTTAATATGCAAACTGAAAATACTGCAGTAAATTCCCAAGTAGCTCATGTTGTAAAAATGATCATCACCCAGTAACAGCATGCAGCATATTTTAAATTTGATTTATAATTTTGGCATATATTTTAGAGGCCTACAATTCACACATAATATTTGATCCACAAGCCAGAAGCGAACATTTAGGAAAAGTTCCTATAATGCATTACAAAACTGCTATTTTAAGAAGCTTGTGATCTAATGGATAATATTATATAGACTTGAAAAAAATATAAAATTAGCTTTAAAAGCTTGACACTTGCAAGTTGAATTACAATTTGGAATTCGCAAAATATGTTTTATCTCATGTTTGAATTTCTTAGTGAATTTTGCAGTCATGAAAGAGATCAAATTAATAGTCTGAGGAAACAAATTCAAGTATTTATTCTCAGATCAGTTAGAGCAAGACATTGGTGGTATTTTTAACTAAAATGTAAGTAAAACAAATCCCAGTTCAATTGCCATCAACCTTTTATTTGGCTATACTATTAGCAGCTGTATTCTTCCGAAAAAGCTTACAGAATGATAGTCATATCCTATTAAAATTTCAATCAAAAGCAGCACCCAAATTGGACTATTTCCAAGAATTTGGACGTTTCACTTTCCTTTAACCATCTGTCTTGACTAAGACAGATGTATTCCAAATATATGTACTCTAAAGTGTTGAACCAATCCCTTCAGAGCAAATCCATATTGAGCAAATATACAGAGTGTCTTTATTAGACCATCTGCTGTTCATTCAATGTTCAAAAGATTAAAGTAGTACACAACGAAGGACTGGAATTTCTGTAGTCTAATCAATCATAGTTGTACTTCAAAGTATACCCTTCCTGAGTTGTTCATAATGGTCCTGCAAACCAACTTTTAGAACTGTATAAGTGACAAATAGGTTCGGGTGCCTATATGAAATGTGATACATTTCTAGATCGAAGTCTAATGCGTGCCTTCAAGACCTATTGCTCTGAACACATGCAGAACTTAATAGTTCTTAAGCTATTGTAGAACGTTTAGGAAAATGTAGTAGAAGAAAAAGAATTAATTCCCCTTAAATGTGTTTTAGGTTAGCTTAAAAATTAGGAAATATTGGGTAATAATTTTTAGATCCTGTGCTATCAATTTTAATTTGTAAGTTGCAGCATATATCAAAGCAAACTATTGGTAAAACTATAAAGGATTCTCTCTTATTTGCAAAACTCCTGGAGGATAATGACTCTTGCCTGCAACACCTTAGTCTTCTTTCTGAAGACAAAACAGTTACACAAGGCGATCTTGGAGATTCTCAGGTCAATGAACTTGAATGTTCCATTAATTGCATCTGCTGTTTTTTGACCAGTAAATATCATGCCATTTCCTTGTCTGTTATTTACTGAGCTTTTTGATGAGAACTGGGAGATCAGCTAATTGATCAAATTTGAAAAATGAAACAGGTTATTTATTGTACTACTGTAATTGGTACAAAGTAAATTTCAGAACAGTTACACTGGATGAACTATTCAAATAACTCTCAGTGAAATTAATGTTGTACAGAAAAATGGATGCTGTACTTAAACACCTCTGCAAATCAATCTCTACTTAGAGCATTCAGAAGAACTTAAAATATTATTGAATGTGTCTTTTCATATTCTTTACATTTCACCTTAATGACTGTAAAAGAGTATTCTTCTAGTAATTTTCCTTATTGCATTGACCTCAGCTGGTCTGTTTTGGGATAGAAAAAAATATAGATGCCCTGACAGAATTACATGTACATCTTTTGTTTACATATAATATTAGATCACATCTCTGAATATCCTGAAGACATTGAATCATGCCAGGGGATGGGGAATGTCTGGATGCCAGGGTGAGGGAGCTAGGTGGGTTCAGAAGCCGGAAGTGAGAAACTGGGAATGGCTGAACAGGGAGACTGGAATTGGGAGTCAGAGGAGACAGGGATAAGGAAACTAGAGGGGTAAGACTAGGACTTCTGGGTATCCTGAGGGAGTCTAGGACTGACTAGATGAAAGCAATAGGGCTGGGACATGGACTCAGGGGAGGGGACAAGACAGGACAGGCACAGGTTGGAGTGGATAGGAGAAAAGGGGTCATACTTGAGGGTCCCAGGTAAGAGAGTCTCAAATGGAACCTCAAGGTTCCTGAATCTCAACCTCTCTCTGCAGTCAGCAAATATCTATGAAATCCACTCCACTGGCAAAGTGTCTCATCCCTCTCTAGTGTTATCCCCACAGGGAATGACAACCTACAACTGCTATCAATTATTCTATTAGCTCAAGTGGCAGAGATCTGTATGCAGGAGCTTAGGATTCCACCATGTTCATGATTCAGGTAGGTGTAAATATGATGACATGAAATGGACACAATAAGTTAAGAACATTATTAATGTTTCAAATCCAAACATTGAACAAGTAGGAAATGCCAGAGTTGAAGTTGCCTGCACAATTTTAATTCAGCCTCCTCATGTATGTGCATTACAATGCAGTGCTTATTTACACCATCACATATTTTTTCCCCAAAGGACCTCTGCCTCAGATGGTGCACAGGATGGATTACCTGGGAGGATGAACCTGGAATGTGTAGTGATGGAGATTGTTGTGCACAGGACCCAATTCTTTTGTGGCAGAAGTTGGAAGATATGGAGTAAGTCAGGGGATTATGGAAGATCTCTGGGTTAACATAACTGACTGCTGATATGGAGAATTAGATTCTGCTCCTGACTTGGCCAAAGCGTGACACCGAGCAGGTCAACAAACCAAACTTTTCCATATGCGGTCACTATTTGTGCATCCTTCAATGTCTGGGTGCATGATTTAAAGATGTGTTGAATAATTGCTCCTGCAAATGAGGTTAAGGGGAGCTACACTTTCAACCTTGTGACATGACATTCCATATGCTTTATGAAAATATGGATATGATACAAATTTCATAACCAAGGTGTTTGCTTTATGTCAGGTCATTAGAGTGAGATATCATTGGAAAGGTTATGATTTACTGAATATGATTATCCTATTTGTAGGCTTGCATCAACTAACTCTGTTTCTGGAGTTAAGAATTTCTCTAAGAAGATTGGTGGTGATTGGGCACCTAACATAGTGAATGCCAGTGAAAATGGGGTAGGTTCAGAAGCTAAAATAGGAAAAGAAAAAGCTAAAATATACTTAGACAAGTTAGATGTCTTCAAATCATCAGGGCCTGATTAAATGCATTCTAGAATACTCAAGGTGCTGACTAAGGAGATATCTGAGCTACTAGCTATTATCTTTGAAAAGTCATAGAAGGGTTCCAGAAGACTGGAAAAGGGCAAATACAGTGCCCATATATAAAAAGAGAAATAAGGAAAACCCAGGGAATTACAGACCAGTCAGCTTAACTCCAGTACCAGGAAAGATAATGGAGGAAATAAGTAAGGAATCCATTCACAAACACTTAAAAGTTACAGTAAAACTCCGGCATCCAGTGGCCTGGCACTCCCAATAGTCCAGCACCAACTGGAACCCGGAATTGTCCAGCTGACTGGAGCACTTGGAGCTGCTGAGCCGGACAATTGGAGCTGCTGTGAGCCCCATGGGCACTCGCAGCTGGGAAAGGGAAGGAGAGAAGAGGGGATGGAGATTATATCCTTGTGACGGGTCTGCCGGGACCCGCACTGTGTCCAGTCGGGGGGTGAGCGGGGAACGGCACGGCGAGGGGTGAACCCTCCGCCATTTTGCAGGAAGGCGGGGCAAGCCCCGCGCAACCACCAGCAACAGATGAGAGGGGACAAGAGCTAAGTCCCCGAACTTGCCCCATTCCGGCTGCGCTCGGCCCTGTTTAGTCAGTTACACTACTTGATCCACAGGTGACAGGCTCCCAATTTCTTTCCTCTACTGCCTCTGGTGGGGCGGTGGGGAACGGCGCAGCAAGGGGCAAACCCTCCACCGTTTTTCAGGAAGGCGGGGGAAGAGCCATGCAGCCACCGGCGACAGGCCAGCTGGGGAAACCCAGCCGCCGGCCTGCAAGCGGCAGAGGAGGAGAGGGGGCAAGAGCTAAGTCCCCGAACTTGCCCCATTCCGGCTGCGCTCGGCCCTGTGCCACCACCGAGAGTTTCTGGGAGGGGAGCGGGCTCCCCACTCCCCAGACTGCAATAGTTATCACCGAGCAGGGGGATGAGGGGTGGCGCTGCGGGACCAACCTGGCAGCACCCCAGCTGCTCTTCTCCTCCACTTCCCCAAGTCCACTACTGTGATGAGTACTTCTGAATACTCCAGCATATCTGATAATCTGGCACCACTTAGGTCCCAAAGGTGCCGGATTATCAGAAGCCTACTGTAATAAGGTTGTAAGAAGCAGTCAGAATAGATTTGTAAAGAACAAATCATGTCAAACCAACATGTTATTCTACCAAAACTATCAAGCCTTGTGGATAAGGGGGAAGCAGTAGATGTAGTATATGCAGACTTTAGTAATGCATTTGATAAAGTCTCACATGACCTCATTATTTACAAACTCAAGGAAATGCAACCTAGGTGAAGCTACTGTATGGTGGGAGCAAAACTGGTTGCAAAACCATTCCCAGAGAGCAGTTATCAATGGTTTGTAGTCATGTTGGACTGGAATAACAAGTGTGGTTCTGCAGAAAGCAGTTTTGGGACAAGTTCTATTCAATATTTTCATTGATGATTTAGATAATGACAGAGAGTACACTTATAAAGTTTGTGAATGATACCAAGATGGGAGGGATTGCAAGTGCTTTGGAATACAAGACTATATAGACAAACTGGGGAAATGGTCTGAGGTAAATAGGAAGAAATTCAACAAGGACAAACGCAAAG